ATTGCTTAATGAGTTTAAGTTGTAGTGATGTCTCCCACAGCTTTGTAAAAAATGAAATAGCTTTATCAGTCCTTCCCTGATTCTGCCACAGAGGTAACAGTCTATATTGTATCATTTTTAAATGTTCCTGAAGATGGTTTTGAGTTGAGTATAGGAAGATAAGATAGAGCACATGAGAATTACTTATGCGTCACCCCACTGTAACTCTACATGGGCTGAGAACAGTGTCTCAATTCACATGAGGTTTTCTTCTCCACCAAAGACTCACTTTTTCATTATTGACATCCCACAGAATCCTTAGGTTGTATAGGCTTACAATGGTCTTTCCTTTGATTTTGGAGATTTTTTTTTTTTTTTTTTTTGCAAACTAATTATAAAACACCTCGAATATTGTTTTTAACCTAATGTAAAGAAGTCTTGGTGTGGCTCTGCAGGACAAAGCACTTGACCTCCAGGTAGGTTTGAACCGCAAGGTCAGTGGTTCAAACTCACCAGGCACTCCTTGGAAACCATACACAGCGTCTCTTGATTTGCAAACCAGTCAACAGCACTTAACAACAACAGTGCTGTAAAAATACAAAGTAGCTATATTATAAATAGCTAGTTACTGATGCACTGCTGTTTTAAGATTCAAAAATATTTCTTTTCCATGTGACTGGTATCCTGGGAGTAAGAAATCAGGTTGTATTAACGATGAAGGAAGTATGTTTTAAATACAGGCCAGTCAGTATTGAATTTTAATAATTCAGTTGAATTCAATTTCAGTATTTAAAAAGAAGTTAGAGGTTGAACATACTAGCTAATTTTTGTCACATTCTTGTCCCTGTCACTGCCAGGGCCTTGTGCAAAGTTTGTTTCAATAACTGCCCTTGTCTTTTGCAGATGAAAAGCGCTGAAATCATAACCTGAGCCAATAAGCAGTGTTTCTGAATGTACTGTTGTTTCTCTCTCCTCTTCAGTCTGATACTAATCTCTTTTGCTCTTTGATTTTCTGACTATTTTCAGTAACCCCACCTAAGAATTAAATATTAGTTTCACATTGTTTTCTAAATAGAATGATGGTTCTTAAAAAGTGAATTCCTTTGCTCACGACTTAATGCTCCCTGTTACAATGTTTGACAAGTTCTATTTGTTACATCTTTACAAGGATGTTTTTCCCTTGTGAAGTAGTAGCCAGCTGTGGAGGGTCACCAGCACACCTTAACATCTTTGTGATAAAAATGCCTACTGTTGTTGTATTTGCTGATTCTGATCTTTTTTTTACTTTTACTTGTGTGCTTATGTGTTTCAGGAAAAAAGTGCCAGTTCAAATGTAAGACTTAAAATTAATAAGGAGATTCCGGGATTAGTTCATCAACCCAGAGCAAAGTAAGTTCCAGTTCCTATTTTCCTTGATGTTGATTTTAAACATTAAAAATGCTTTCGGAATGAGTTCCATTTTTTCTAAACAAAAATGTTACTTTATTTTAGTCTAGTAACTAAATTAACTATTTAGTAATCAATTGTAGTAACAAAGATTCAGGCTGAAACATTTGTAGTTTGTCAATGTGGTGTGATGTAACAGAACTGAATGGAGAACCAACCCCCAAAGCAGACCATGAAACATAACATAGCTAATATTGCAGATCAATTAGAAAAAACTATGAAAATTCTTATTAAAACTCCTCCCTACCCCAAAGTCTTATCAAGGGAAGAATTTCAGTAAGACACAAAAGATGATTAATACAACTGCATTGACATTAAGAAGGAGCTCTGGTAGC